TTTATTTTGAATATTATTAAAAAAATGTGACATTCTTATATTTGATAGAAACAAAATAGAAAGATATAAAAGTCAAATCATATTTTTTTTAAGTGGATTAATAAAAAAATATAAATAAAAATACAATCATATATCACAATTAAATTGACGGAAATTATTCTTGGTGGGCAAGCATTATTTGCATATAGAGAGAGACATGAGTTAGCCCAAGTAGCTAGCACAAACAACGAGTTACATTACAAAGAGAGTAGAATCAGAGCACCAACAGGCAACAGTCCCATTTTGAACTCCTGTCCCAAATAACCATATGTTTTGGTTTAATTACTAGTTTTTCTCATTAACATTATTTATATAATTAAGATATTGCCTAACCTAAACACATACATATATATAAAAGCGAAAAATACAAAAAGAAAAAAAAAGAAGACAATAAGATGGCTTAGTAAATCGATTACAAATTTCATAATTTAAAGCCTCATCATTTTGCTTCTTGTGAGTGTCTCAAATATGTTTGGAGTGACCCTGAATTCGACATTGATATACAAGCCAAGTGAGACGGTTTTTGAGGTGTTGGTTTTCAAGTCTTAGCCGGTTCAGCTCTTCTCTTAGTTCCTCTAAATGCCTCATCTTTCGTTGCCTGGATCGCCTGGCTAATTCACGGTTGGAGATCATCCGTAATATACGCTGTTCTTCACGGAATTCCGAACCGGCGTTGGTCGACACGTTAGACTCTGACCGGGGGAGGGAAGGTATCTCATGGATTTCAGCCGTGGTTGTGTTATTGGTGAGTTGTGATTCGATTGGGTTCAACTCACTTGACGACATAACGCATGCTAATTTCTAACTTTTAAAAGTTTTGAGTTTTGCTTTTGCGGAAGAAATGGAAGAATGGAAGGCGTTGGGTTGGAGCCAAGTATTTATTGACGATGCACCATGTGAACGTGGGGTCCACCAAAAAGTATTTCAACACATCTATCTATGCTTTTTTAACTATTCTCCAAAAAACATTGGACATCTTTGATTGATTTATTTGATTAATCGCTAAAATGTTTTTATCATATGATTAATAAATCGTTCAACTATTTTTTTTGAACTGCCAAAGAACAAAATCTTGATCACTAGTAAAAATACGTTTATGTTCCTTTTTGTCTTCAATTAAAAAAAAATGGACTTTTTTAAGAAATACATGCGGACTATAAAATGAAGCGAGTGTGATGTGAGTTGGCAAGGTGAAATCAATGCCAAAAATTAAGAGCTTAATAGCTAAGGAAACAACCTCAAAAGTAAAGCACATTTCACCTTACTCAAAAACCCAACGTCATATATCCACTTTGTAAATTCTTTATACATGATTTAAATAAAAAACAACAAATTTCATCAATCAAAATCAAAAAGCCGAGAAAGGTAGGCATATATACAATCAATCAAAAAATGCCGTTTCCAAAAAAAAATTGAAATCAAACGGAACACTGAGATTAAAAAATATATATATCTACTAAAGGTAAGAATTAAAGAGAACGAAAATATTGATGGATTTACAATGAAGCTATTAACACGGGTTGGGTTGGCATAATACGTAACAAGTTTTTAAGGTTGAGAGGAGGTTCTGTTGAAAATGACAGAAGCATAGCTGGCGATGCTTGATTCCGGTGATTGGCGGAGTCGTCCAATGACAGGGTACAATTCGGAGGAAGGCAGGAATTGTCTACATGGTGAATGAGCACACATCTTTGCTAACGAAAACAAAGCTATTTTTAGAGGCGACTCATTAATTGCATCTCTCCTGGTTGGGTTAAGAGCAACAACAGAACAGTCCGACACCAATTTCAGCAATGCCTGCGTGCATGCAAGTATATATGCAACATCACTTGCTTAAAAGAACCAAAATTACAAGAAGGGACCAAAAATGTAACTTAATATAATAATATTTAGAGTTTATTATGACACCTGCATTGCTCCTTTAGAGACAATATGTTGAGAAAGTTTGTTGGAATTGCGCACAAGATTACTGAGAGCACCAGATGCGTTTGCTTTAGTTTTATTGTCCTCCTCTGCTGACATCAGCAAATTTGCAAGTTGAGGTATGCATTTTCTCAGCTCTTCATCACTGTGGTATGCTGCATTACCAATCTATAATTAAAATCAAATAACAAGACCTCAGTTTATTATCTATCTGGAATATGTGAGTTGTATCTGATTTTGGTTCCTATTATGCCAAATCTGTGGAAAAAAAAAATCCTTACTTCATCTTTCTGATTTTGATTCTATATCTGGAATTGTGTTTGTATCAGATTTTGATGTTTTTCCTTTTTTTTTTTTTTTTNGCTGTGCAATCTTATGCTTTCGGTTCAAGCTTGTTAGTTTCTGTTTGCTGTTCTTCCCTTTTTTTCTACATTGATTATTAGGGAGCCATGAAACTGAAGCTATCAACAAAATTGTCCTTCCAGGTGTTCTAGACAATGGGAATGATGGAGAGTGGTTTGAGGCGTTAGATGGTGATTGGTTTACGGAGGAAGTAGAAATTCTGTAGAATTATGTATGTATGTTGGTACTTCATAGAAGAGATCATCACCCTCTTTGAATCTTGAAGAATGCAATATATAAAGTTGTCAATTGGGTTGTTACTCATGTTTTTGGAATAAAGAAAAACACTCAAATTAGTTTGTGTATATGTAGAAATTCAATCATTTTGTAAATCAATATAATTGTGATAATGAATTTATATGATTTGATGAATTTTTGTAATTAAGAGAATTGTTTTGACAAAAGTTTACACGAGCCTAATTGTGAGAATTGCTTTTGTATTAAATGATATTGTTATAACTAAATAGATTCATGTTGTGTTGCAAACATAAGGGTAAAATGGTCATTTTGATCATTCAGCAAATTCATACATAACCAAACAACATGGATTCAGTCAGATGTAGATTCAGTCAGAATTTCTAACCCAATCAGCTTCTAACCCAGTCAGCTCTAACCCAGTCGGCAAGTATCAAACGACCCCATCCGAGCACCTATCAACCAACAGACTGATGATTTTGTGCTTTGCCTATAATATGTATGACAAATATCATTTATCAGACAGTATTTTTTTATTTTATTATCAAAAAAGAAAATAATGATACTTGCCAATAAATTATAAAAATAGTCGACACATATTGCCTATAGCACTGCAAGCTTTGGCACGAACATTTGGATCTTGGTGTGTTAGAAAGTCTTTTAAGAGATCCAATATATTTGCTCCATCTATGTGCTCATAAAAAACCTGTAGTCCATTCATCATATGTTTTGGAATTGAATGTATATAACATACTAAAATTATATTATTAAAATAATACCTTATCCATACGAGCCAACTCTGAAATGATCATGAGAATATCTAGAATAACTTCCCGTGGTGATGAAGAGTCAAGCAGCCTTCTCATTTTGTTTGGATCCAAGAGACCTCTTTCAAGGACTTGAACAACAAGTGATCTATGAAGACTCATTTTGGCTAGAAATGCAACTGCTCTTGCAGTGCCTTTTAACTCCATGTGTTCCAAACATTGAATTATTTGACCTGGAATTCCTACCTGTAATGTAAATTTATAAACAATCATCACATGCATAATTCATTTGTTAATAAAATAGATTTATTTTTGTAAATCAATGTCCCATAAACTGGCCCCACAGCCAACATGGAGAAGGTAAATCACAGTGTCACCAAAGCAATAATAATGATGATGATGATTAGACCATTTCCAATAATACCCTTATACTTATTAGTTTCCATAAATTTTACTCATGTTTTTTTATCACAATAACTTTTTACAAGTTTTGGGTTGCAAATTGCTATCATCGATGAAAAAATTCAATTACATTGTTATTATGGGTCAAAAACATAAGTGCATTGCTATTATATGTAAAAACAATAATGTATATTGTCTGTATTGGTACTATATTTGATTTCAAAGTAATTATCATGTTATTAAAACTAATATTAAATTTAATATCCATCATAAATCAGTATGTTCTTGTGGTCTAAATTAATAAAGAAAAAAATTAAACAACTTCAAAATACGAAAATTAAATTTAATGTGTATAATAACTTTATGTTA